GCCCCTCGGGAAGCAGCTGGACTGAGGCTGCAGTAAGAGTGATGCTGGGTGAGATGACTGGTATTTGGTGGACTCAGGCCCACTGAATTCACCTGGACTTCCCATGGAGTTTTTAAAGCAGTTGCCTTGTGTGAGATCAACAGAATGACTGTTCACGTGATCTCTTAATTCTCCTTTCAACTGGAAAAATGGGTGCTCTAAACCCCCAAAGCTCCTTGGGTTCCAAAACTCTAAGCTCTGGTCTTAAAACCTTGGTATTTTGGGGGTTGACATACTATCCTCTCTCTGGATACTAAAGCTTATGATACGGTGTTGTTTCAGAGCCTGGACAGAGCTCTGAGTCATGGAGTGTCAGAGTTAGAACTTACTGGTTTAGGGATCTCATGTCACAGATGAACCTGAGGCCTAGGAGCCCAAGGCCACACGCAGCTGAACAGAAGAGATGGGACCAGGACTCACAGCGCTGGTTCAGTCCTTTGGTCCGTTCTGCCGCTGGCTGAGGAGTCCATGAGGACCAACAGTAAAGCCTGCTGACTTTTGTATCTGAGCACTGGAGGCAGCCAGGTGGAGCTGGGGCTGTTTGTTGGCACCAGAACGGCCTTACCCTCCTCCTCTCTGGTGGCTACAGAGCTGCACCTACTGTAGAATATATCAGGATGCAGTGAGGGAAAAAGTGGAGTGTGGGGGAAACAAGTACGGAGAAGGAAACAGTGGAAGAGGGTTGGGGGAGTGAGCACATGACCAAAGGAAAACTGTCTAACCTTTGTCTTAAGCAAAACACAGGTAGTTTCTCCTGTAGGCTAAAGAGGCAACATCGCCATCTGGTGGCTGTTGTGGGCATACACTTTAGAGAGGAATTGAAATCCAGTGATCGGCATCAGATGTAACACTCATGGCTTCCCTCTTCCCTGTTGAGGCAGATCAGCCCGGCAGGAAGCTGTACTGTCTGTGAACTCCAGGCCAGGTGGGTACCCTTTCCTCAGCATTACTTGACATGGCCTAGAGGTTTGGGCTGAACAGCAACACAGGAGTCATACTGATCCACCTGGGGGGAGGTGGGGTCCTTCAGGCTACAGGACATCACAGAACAGATGGCTTTTCAAGGTTCTGGTGAAGCCTCAGAGCCAGCTGTTTACAGCCAGTAGTCACCTGTCACTCCAGGTACAGGGGTAGGACTACAGACAAGGTCTCTCAGTTACTGCTGCTTACACGTGACACTCCCTTCCCAAACTAACCCAGTCACCTGCCTTCTAAGAGTTCTCAGTTAAAAAAAAAAAAAAAAAAGCCAAAGTCCATTGCTCAGAGGAGCTGGATGAACAGGGAGGATGTTTTTAAAATCAGGCTTAGTAATCACTGGGGCTATTATCTTATTGATCAAGGTCCAGCCATTTGCCAAGGTATATACACATTTTATTTAAAAAAGTTTACAGTTTTCATTATACACAACTATTAAGAGGTTATAGTCAGAGGAGGCATTTGTCCTGTTGACAGAAGTGCCCACTATATCATCACAATGCAAGGAAAAAGGTGGAAGGGAGGAGGGCGGGCAAGGAAAAAATGTGATAAAAAGCTTAGATTTCAATTAAGGGCTGGTAAGTCCCTTTTATCTCTTCAAGTATCACACAATATGTACCAAATACAATCAGTAAATAATGGCCATTTCTTCCCAAGCCCACAGCCAAGACAAGTATTTGCTGAATTGAGTCCTGGCCCTTCCTCAGGTGAGTGGAGAGCCTGCACACCTGAGGGCTAACTCCCCTTCCCCAAGGGGCCTCCACTCCATTCCAGGCCCTAATGGAATCGCCAAGATCTTCACTGGCCAGAGAAAATATGAACATGGATTCAGAAGTCCAAAGAAATGCAGGTCTTTGCACCCAATCAGAAATGACTTGTTTTCAGTCAACAAGGCCATGAACCCAGTTAGGAAGTTGATGAGATGAATAAAATTCTTACTAACTTTTGTTAGTGGCTTTCAAATTTCCTAATTGATTCCCTAGAACATAGAGGGTCACATGCCATTTAAAATCAAACACTAGTTCCTGGAAACTTGGTTGTCTAACAACTTCACCATGGAGGCCAGCAGAGGATCTGTCTTTCATGATTCTCAGTCATCCCAATAGGAGGCCTAATAAAAAGCAAGTGCCAGGCCAAGGCCAGTTAGGGCTTCAGGGAGTCTTTTGAGGGAAAAAATTCCTTCGAGGGGAGACACTCTTCTGGAGCTTAGATCAGCCAGTTGGCAATCAGAACAGCTTTTGAAGTGGAAGAAAAATATTAGGTATTGGAGAGAGATATGGCAACTTTTGACAGTTATCTCACTAGTATAAAATGCTGGTTGAAACTGCACAGTAACCTCAAGGAGGGCGATGTGACTGAAGACAGAAAAGCAAAAATGCCAGTGTCTAGGTTGGCTGCTGTGAAACAACCCACGAGGCCCCGGTGCGGGGCTGCTGGAGGGCAGCGATCCCACGCTGCTGTGGTGCAGCCTTCCTGCTTGTTGATGTTCGGCGAGAGCTTGAGCTTAGTTCTTTGAACAGGGCAAAGAATGGCTTGCGCTGATAAACCACAAGGTAGGATGTCAACAACGATGGCTACTAAAGAAAGGAAGGGAAAGGAAACTGCCAGAAGCAGCTCTGACCCACCACCACCACCTTTAAGAGCAGTAATGTTCAGCCTTTCTGAGGGGCTCTGGACGCTTCTTCTGAGTGTTATGATGGGACAGCCTAGAAAGGCTTTTGATGTCATACCATTCCCTGCTCCAGACTCACTCTACCGTCTATTATTGGGGGCCCAATGTCCTCACAGTCACAGCCAGGCCTTCTTCCAGCTTCCTTTCTACTCCTACCTCTCCTAGGCACAGAGAAGGGATAAAAAGTTACTGTGAGAAGGGATTCCGTTCAACTCACCAAAAGTCAATTTCCCAGTGGAGAGGAAGAGCTCCACACAGAGCCAAAAACATGCATTGGACCAAGGTTAGTGCCCAGAAAGGACAGACCTGCACAGGACGAGAGGGTACAGCGTGATTTGGGTAGCAATTCGTTAGCTTCCAGTGCTAACATAGAAGCCTAATTCTGCCTTCATCACACAGACTTGGAATGGACACACACACACGTGCACACACACTGCAGCCATGCTCAGGTCTGCTTCTTAACCCCTGCAACCTCCCCCAACAAATCTTCATTTGGAAATTCTGTACCACCAGACTCCTAGTGCTGGAGCTCTTGATTGCAGGCAAGCTGATGTATTTAGGTTAGAGAAACATGGATTTAGTCGGGGAGCAGAGCTGTGGCACTGCTCACATACCTTTCCTAAACTTGGTTCTACTAGTTTTTTTTTTTTGACAAGATTAAAGGCAATTATTATATGGACATTATTTTTGAAAGGTAATTAGAACACTATTGTTTATACAATATTGAAAAAATACAATTTTTTATTGTTTGAACTCAAATCACCACCCAGCACTTTAAGCCTACCCTAAGTCGCACCTACAAATAACGGTTATAGCACAAGCAAACTGCTAATTCAGCAGGGAAGCAAGTTAGACAGTGCCAGCAGAGACAGACCCTCCCTCCCCCAAGTAATGAGAAGACAACGTGCTAGATAAGAGTTAAAGTACACCATTACATGTTAAATAGTTAATACTACCCTTCCAACAAGCCACAAATGCTAGATAGATACCTCAGTACAGTTAACTAACCACAGCCCTACATAACTCACTTTTAATTTTTTTTAAAAAGAAAACCTTTTGCTTCATGCCCGTAATTAACATAAAATAAGTAAATTCTTTGCTTTTTATTTAGGAAAATAATCATGCTAAAAGCAAGTTGTATTTTATATAGATTTTCAAAGAAAAGATTGATTGTGCTTTTTGAATAAAAAAGATAGGATATCTTCCAACCTTACTGACTCAAATCTTGTGGAATATAGCACTTCTAAACTAAAAAACACACATCAGAAAGAAAAATTATCCCAGTGGGACATTCAAAATCATCTTTAGAAGATTTTAGGATTGGCTAATTCTGCTATTGTCCTACTGGTTGTGGCAAAAAAGAATACACAGCTACTGTCTGAAGTTCTCCAAATTCAGCAGGCAACACTTGGATCTGGGAGAAACTCTGCCAGCAACCTGGACATATGGTTAGCTGAGTAAACATCTGATTAGCAGGCATTTAAACTGTCTTATTTCCTCTTGACATATACAGGAGAGAAAATTTTCTTCCTTCAAAACCTGTTCTACTACATCCTATTTCTGAATCCTTTCCTCTTATTCAGTCTCACTCTGAAAAAAAAGCTGTGTTTGTTTTTCTCATGTAGAGTCACTTTGGGTACAAGAACCTTTATTTATTCCAATTATTACTCATTTTAAATTTAGAATGTGTGTTGGGTCTGAAATACCCATTTCCCACTCCCACAAGCAGATGATGACCAGGCTGCTGCCAAGAGCAGCAGCAGAAGGGAAAACAAAATCAAAACGTGAAAGAGTGCCTAGGAGTCACGGCCACCAGAAGGGTCTTCTTCCCAAGTCTAATGGTCCACTGAGCAGCTGTCCAAGGAGGAGGCCATCTCTTGGTAAGTGAGGATTAAATTTGCAACCTGTCTAAGCACAATTCACACACACACCAAAAAAACAAACAAAAAACCCCCCAAACAACTGAAACAAAAACCCCACAACCTCCTTCAAATGTAAAGCTCTCAGTCCAGGGTGGCAGTCTCAAAGTGGCCAGCAAAGGGTGAGGATGTGACTCTGCACGTGTTGGATGAAAGGAAACATCTTCCCAGTCACTTTTCTCCTTCTGTCCTGTCCTCTCAAAAAAGGTCTGGATTACAAGTTCTACCCCCAAGAAAAAGAATCAGGTTCAGAAAACACTTCCAAAAGGTTCTCCAAAGCAAAACACTTGTGGTTGCAGGGCCGGGTAGTGAGAAGGGCAGGAATCTACATATAAAAATGTACTTAAAATCCAAGTCAAAAAGTTGTTTTCAGTTTCAATCCTCCAATTAGCTCCCTGTTTTATATTGTTACTCCACAGAAATGGGGCCACCTAGGATGCACACAGGAAGGAGCAGCTCCAGTTCTGATGTGGCTGGCTCTAAATGCTCCCACAGCAGGCCTTTTCCTCCCCAGTTTTTTCCTTTCCATTTTGAAAAAGCACTATTCTATCTTCACGTCCAAGAGCTGGTTGGTTTGGTATGTTTCTTTGGAACCATCAATAAAAGAAGCAACTTTTTCCTGTTATTTTTACTCATGTCTATCTATCAGAGCGGCTATTTCTTTTGACAGTTCAGTAGCACACAGGCTGACTTGGCCAAATGGACTTATGAATGCATGCATCCAGACCGCATATTGCTACCAAAATGGAATGTGGGAATATGCTATGCACCTCAGGTTGAGAAATGACCAAGAAATCAAGATCTAAAGGGTGATATATAATATATATATATCAATGCTATTATTCATAAAAACCTTGTTTAGTAATAAAAAAATTGCTTTGTTTAAATATGAATATTATAGTCTGCTTCTCATGGTTAGGAAATAATAGTCTTTCTGAAAAGCAGGTGCTTTTTCTACTACAACTCCATATCCTGGGCCTCATCTTCCGAAAAGTCAGACATAGAACTCTCCGACGAGCTGTCACCGGTGCCCTCTTCCTGCTCTTTTAGTGCCTCCTCCGTTGCATATTTCTGGATGTACTCTGCACAGGGTTGGGGGATAAAAAAAAACACAAAGGTAGTGAGCAGGTGGGCCTGTGCTTCAACAACCCCAAAGCTGACAAGTCCCCAAGCTTTCCCCGTGCGGTGTGGGCAGGGGGGAAGCAGACGATGACAGTTATTCTAGTCACTAAAGCTAAGGGGAAAATTGCACAGGGAGATGCCTTTGGAGTTGATGCTCTTTGCCCCCTTAAGTAAGAAGAGGCAAAGCTTAACACTTGATCTGCAGGGGAATAAATACACTGCATCACCACTGGGCCATCACCTCCCTCACAGACGTGTACAAGACAGCCTGACCACCCGGGCCTTGGCTGCAAGACCCAGGAAAGCTGGCAGACATCCAGGATGATGTCTGGGGTTGAAGAACCCCCAGTTCTCCAGCCAGGGCGTCCTCTCACTCGCCCCTTGTTGCTTACTGATACGCTACTGCACTCCTCCAAACTTGATGCACTGGGGAAATGCAAGCCCTACACTTTCTTTTTACTTTCTGGGTTAACTAAACTATTCACCCCCCAGATAGAACAGGACTAGTTATGATTCCACAGTAATTTACAAGGAAATCCCACATCAATTTAGATCTACAGTTATATAATTACCATCAGCCCAAGTCTATTATTTTAGGAAGAGATTTGAGTCTAAACAGATCCTGCCGTCAGGTTTTTGAAGCAGCTGGTAAAAAGTCTCTCAGCTGCTCAGGAACAAGCTGCTCTCTGGGGACACAGCTAGCCCGAGTGACATTACTACCTATTATTTATTTACCTAAAGATTTATGCTGCTATAGCCTAGGCTGAATCTAGGTTAGCTGAAAAAAAAATTTAAGAACTGCCAAATAAACAATTAAGCTTTTTCCTAAAAGTCCAGGTGCAGACAGTTTAAGTAAATAGCCTATTCACACAATAGGAAAAGACGAGACAGAATCCTATCCAGAAAAATATATCCTCGTGTCCTCGTGCTTTGTTTTTCGTCCTATGGAGTTGCAGGGACTAGAAGAGAAGGTAAAAGGATCAAGTCCGAACAATTTAGTGCAGGGCCAGCTAAGAATGTTTTTTATATTTTCAAAGGGTTGTTAAAAAAAGGAAGAGAAAAAGAAGAGTGCATGACAGAGACTGTATGTGGCCAAATCTGGGCATTTACAGAAGAAGTTTGCAGACTTCTGACTTAGAGCCCTACAAATTCATTATAACAAAATTTTATGCTGAGATAATGAGACTTCAAAAGCCCCTGGCTAGGTAGAAACTTACCTTAATTTACTTTTTAGAGTGAGAAAAGTGTTTATTAAAGTCTTAGAAATTTTATTTTTACTCTCTAAAATTGGCTACTTTTTCTTCCTTTGTAGAGAGAAGCTGCTGCACTCTGACACTGTAATTTGATGCTATGCGCCTTCTTCAGTACATTCAAAGAGACCAATGTGTCGTAAGTGCTTACTGGGACAAGGCCTTTCAGGAGATAGAAAAATGAACAGCAAGGTCACTAATAAGCAGGAGTCACAGACAAAGATAAAAACAGTCAGCTGCTAAGTGCCATCAGAAGGAAGCAGGAGGAAAGGACTGCAGCCTGTGAGAGCCAGGAAGGCCATATTTGCAGAGAGGTCCAGGAAAACGGGTCTTGAGAAAAGTCTAAATGATTAGGGAGAGAGAGGGTCACAAATTCAGAAGGGGAGGAGAAACAAAACTAGACCCCAGGAGTTTAAGGCAAGGAAGTGAGAAGTTTGAAAACTAAAGGAAATAAACAGCAAGACTTAAAGGAGTCCACAGGAGCAGATAAAGGCTTCTGACATGGGGATACCTCTGAGGCGGTAACATGGAGGAGGAGGAAGACCAACATGCTAGGAAGAAGGGGATAAATGGGAGACCAAGATCACAGGTTGGTGGAGGCCTGGGTCTGAGAAATAAGACAGGCTCTCTTATTTTCCATAGGAAGCAACAAAGAAAAGATGGTGGGGGGAATATATATAAAGGAGCAGTAGGAAGTTGGGGTGAGCTCAGGTCTGACAGACCTCAGATCACTAATGATAGCCAACACTAATGTTTCAGAAATCTAGAGCCTAAGCTAGAGCTTGCTGTTCTAAGATAAAAACGTAGTTTGGGTTCCATTTGTAATTGGGACTATAGCAGATAGGAACTAAAACAGGAATAGTGTTAAACAGTGAGGCATAATGAATATAAGAACTATAGAAATATGCTCTGCACCGAGGTATCTGTGGGTTGCAGACACTGTTAAGTGACTGCTATGTCAAAATTTTAATACAGTCTCATAACAGAATTTTATCTGGTCGAAAATGACTACGTTTTTCTTTAAATATATGTTTCTTTGCCTTTATCGATATTTTGCTACATAAATTAGATATTAATTTGCAAAGCACCTGAGCCCTAAGTAAATTAATTACAGTAAATTTATTTTTACTTTATTCTCAACAAAAGTACCAAATGAAATCCTAGGAGACCAGGGAAGAATGAAAAAATGAAGAAAAGGAAAACTACAGTTCAGTAGCCTCAGATGCTCCCATTCGTCTCATACCATCACAGAAGAGGAAGACCGATGTATTCTGGGCTTTCATAAATTATTTCTACTACCATCTCTTGCAAACGTGCTCAGAGGGGCCATATACCTTGTAGAAGCTGACGTTCTGAATGGTTATGCAGATGAACAAGTCATGCTAAGCCATTTGTTAAGAAGAGCAGGCCTATTTTCATGGACTTTAAATTTCTCTCCTTTCTGGTGGAGCTTTATGTATCTAGACTTTTCACTATGAAAGTTCTCAAACATACACAGAGATAAAAGGACAATGTGATGAACAGGGCAACCTTGTGTGTAGCTTTAGCTGTCCTTTCAGAACCACGTTTTCATCTTAACGAAGTTTGTTCCCATGAGCATGTAAACTAAGAATGGGAAAACAGGATTCTAAATCTTACAGGATGAGCCAACTAGTGCTACCAAATTTCTAAATGTAGTAGTGCCGCGCATTTCTAAACTTTGATAGCACATTTTAAGTTTTAATAGAAAAATCCGCAGCTCCAGGGCACTGGGGCCAGTAGAAGAGAAATGTGCCTAGATGTAAACTCCCCAATATACAAGCATATCAGTATGAGACCAAGAAAAGCAGCCAGTTAGCCAGTTGGGTACTTTTTACTCAACAGATAACATGATATAATTTTTTAAAAGTCTAATAGTGAATTCGGTAATTATTCCCCAACTCCTAAAGTTAACTGCTGTCCTGATGGGCCAGGACAATTCCATTTGTAAACAAATGTGAGATTATGCCTTTCAATTAATCCTTTACTCTCAAGTCCAATTTTCTAATTTTATACGACAAGAGGAAGCAAATGAAGGCAAAGGTTCTTCCATACAGGTGGTCACAGGGATTTCTGGGCAGGGCTATGTCTACTACCACCCAGTTAGTAAACACCCCTCTTCCTCAACTTCCCTTTTTTTTTCCTCTCTCTCTATTTCCCTTCTTCCTTGCTGAAACCTCCAGCTTTTTAAAGGTGTCTCTGACCCTCGAACCTAGCTACCGAGGCCAGTGAACTCTGCTCCAGCCCACAGCCGTCTCTTTTTATGCCTGAGAAAAATTATGAATAACTAAGAAGGGTTTTAATGATCAAAACACAACAGACTTAAGTTCTTCTGTCCCCAGGCTCAACTATTTGCCTTACCTTTAATTTTCTGCTTGTATTCTTCTGGTCGATGGAGGTACATAGCTGCAGCGTCACCATTGAGAGGATCTATGGGGTTGGGATAGGCCAACAACTGGGGCAGGAAGGACTCAAATATATTGGTAAGATCTGAAAAACAAACAGAAATACGTCATGCACGGAACAAGCAAGTTCACCTAAAATTCATGTGAATTTAGTAGTCAAAATGTCTTACCTTCCTAGGTATTTAATCACATGGATGTTTTTCCATAAAATGCTCCATTACCTGTGACTTATATTTTACATACTCCTTTCAAAACCAATCTTTAAACTTAATTTGAAGAATCAGATAGAGGTACACTTGATACTCTCTTTGAAAGGCAGTTGTCCCAATTCTAATTCGCTCTACTTTCTAAACTGAGAATTGAGAAACATTACTATACACTGCTTATGAATTAAAACCTGTGCCCAATATGCTATAGTACTCCACATTCTCACAAACTGAGTAATGTCTTAACATCGCCATTTCTACAACTTTGAAAAAAAATCCCCACCCTGAGAAGTATTCAAGCATCACATCTTAAAAGAACTGAACACAATTTTATAGGCCTTAACATTTAATTCAATTCTTCTAATTTCTAATGGAGATGAATATAACCAGTTCTTCAATTATTCTGGGTAATAAGGGTGGGAACCTATATGGACACTTAAAATCATAAACAATTGTAACACAGATAAGTACCAATTTACTGTATTTATTCATATTAATTTTAATAAACATTTATTAACTCCCTTCTTGCCTGATTCAGCTGGGTGTACACCGATGACATCTACACATACAGTGCAAACAACAAAACCCCTGCAGTCACCTAGTGTTTTACAAAGAAAGCAGGCTTCCATTTCTCTGCCCACTCTAGTTACTCATCATGTTTTATAAAAAACACTTCTGTTTCTGGAGGGAATGCTAAAGAACAGTAGCATAAAAACTACTCTTTTAATTTACTCTGCTCTTTTAATGAATTTTGTTCTAGAGTGAGCACTCTCACACAGTATTATAAGGGAATGTTCTGTCAAGCCACATCACTTTAGATTAGTAGTTCTCAGCCAGGGGTGATTTTGCTCCCCCCCGCGGCCACTTGGCAATGCGTGGAGAGAGATGTGGTTGTCACAACTGGGTGAGGGAGGGGGTAGGTGGTGCCACCAGCACCTAGTGGACAGAGGCCAGGACGCTGCTAACACCCTACTACAGTACAATGCACAGGATAGCCCTGCACAACCACAATGTCAATAATGCAGAGGTTCAAAAACCCTGGTCTAGATAAAAAGGGTCAGCCAACTTTTTCGTAAAGGGCCAGAGTAAATACTAACTTAGGCTTTGTGGGCCACATTTGGTCTGTCACAGCTACTCAACACTCAGCTCCACCACCGCAGCACAAAAGCAGCCACAAATAACAGATAAACAAGTGGGTGTGGCTATGTTCCAATAAAACTTTATACACAAAACCAGGCAGTCAACATTTCCTGACCTCTGCTCTAGAAAATCCTACAAGCAAGAAGCAGCTCTTCCTTGTCGCTATAAAGTTAAGAAACTGAGCAGTCAGAATGACCTAGAGCTGCACTATTTAACAGAACTTTCTCCAATGACAAAAATGTTCTGTATCTGCTACCAGTATGGCAGCCACTAGCCACATGTGGCTGTTGAGCATGTGAAATACAGCTGGTTTGACTGTGAGGAACTGAATTTTTCATTTCATTTAATTCTAACCAAATTAATCTTAAATAACTACATGTGGCTCACAGATCTCATACTGAACAACTCAGAGAGTGATGGATGGACAATCCCATGACAGCCAGCAGTCCTGTTCTCATTCATCTGTCAGTACAAAGAGCAGGTTTACCTTCAACCCCAAGTTAAGGACTTGGTATTATTGATAAGGCTAGCTTTCTAAAGAACCACATTATAGTAAAATTCTCACATACCAGGAAACAAATGCAGAGATTCTTAATCTAAAAGCACAGAAAAATGATATTCCAAGACAACCCCAACAATTTGTGGCAGGATTTTCACCACTGTTTTACTTTTTTTTTTTTAAAAAAATGAAGCAACATATTTAACAAACCAATAATTATTCATTGTACAAAATCATTGTGAACTATCTGTAAAGGCTAAGGGACAGAGAAAAATGCTCACACTCTGAGTGGAAAGTCTGTAAAATAGTATATTCTCTAGAATTATGATGTACACAGTGTGTATAAGAATATTTTAAAAGTTATGTTAAAGCAACAGGCTTGTAATTTCTACATTTCACACTTCAAATGACATTTTACTTCGTTTACCTGTAAAAATAGCATTTTCCTATAAATATGTCCTTTCAACTTTTGCGTATGTTTGAAACATTTAATAAAACACAAAAATTCTGAAAAAAATTTTCCTCTCTTTATCCTTAAGTGGATGGGCTACCAAGGCAGTGGCAGAAAATGCCAAACGGTAAGCAAATTAAGGAGAACAAAAAGTGTGAATCAGAAGTTTTACAAATTGAACATGACCTCAGAGCAGGGAAGAGTTTAGAGTAACATTAATAACAGTAACAGTAATAGTAACAGCGGCAACAGTTTACACTTACACAGCCCTTACTGTAAGCCAGGCCCTGTAAACACTTCACATAGACACTCTTAATTTTACTACAGCCAATGAGATAGGTACCATTACTATCTCCATTCTGCATATGGGGAAAATGAAGCACAGAGAGGTTAGGTAACTTACCCAAGGAACTGGGTTTCAAACCTGGGCTTTTCAATTACACTGCTTCTCTTAATAGATAAAAGGAACACTGTCTCAACCATGAAGGGACAAGCTCCCCACATCCCTGCATCAGAATTGTATACCTTCAGGCATGGTCACCTCCCTCCCCAAAGTTTTCCTTTCTCACAAGTTCAAGGCCAACAGGATGGTCCCTAAGCAGAGAATGTTCAAGAGTTTCTTGGCTGAACTGTCAGGTATTTCATAGAGGCAGTGTGGCTTGTTTTCAAGTAGCTCAAACACAGGAAACAGCCCGTGGCTGTTCACAGATACCCACACATACTGAACTGGGGGCCTCTCCTGCCATATCAGCATTACAGGTGCTGCTCCCAAAAGATTTAATAGCTGAATGTTCCTATCAAACAACAAAGAACTTGAAGAAAACAATAAAGTGCAGGTTTTACTCTCTTTCAGTTCAGAAGTCCTTCAGGATTTGAGAAATACTGCAGACATGTCTCATAACTAGGTGTTTCATGTGTTCCAGGAAAAGATTTTATACCCTTCCCCACTACTTTCAAGGTTTTCAAGCTACCAATAAGTGGCTTTGCCTTACATATTTGTCCAAAACAAATAAAAGAACCCTCAATGATTGGTTTTTCCTTCCTGTGTCTACTGTCTTCAGGCATTAACATACTTTTGATCCATTTTACAGAAGTGCTGAGTCATAACTCTAAAACAGAAGAGCAGAAAAGGAAAAGTACGCAGCCCAGTTTGGGGTGAAGATGACAGCTTCTGAAGGCCAGGATGTTGTGGTCATGGCCATTTTAAAACAGTAAAGTATTCATGAAAGTGGCTAACAGAGTGACTACCATTGAGAGGGTCCTCCACAAAGAAACATCTCTCAGACATGCAGATGTGCACAAAATCTGCTTTCAAGATAAGTGTTCTGGTAGAAGAGACATAAACTATAAACCAAGAATGAACTAAAGATACTCATCTTTGGAAAAAAATCCATCATAATAAACATTTTTTCCCCTGAAATTGTTAATAAATCAGTTCAACTCTTTTTAGAAAAACATTAACCTTTCATTTTTTTGAAAGGGAGAGCGCCTGACATAGGCTACCCAACCTAGAGATTAGTCAGCTGGCTCCATTACTGGCTGCCTTAATTTTTAAAGGAAGTCCCAAGATCCCTGAGAAGTCTAAATTCTGATGAGCAAACAGCTCTTACTTTTGCCTTGGACTAAATCAGCACTTCTCAAAATACAGTCCATTAAGACTGATTCTTCAGCCTAACCTTATAGTATTAATGTTAACAATGTTACAACACTCAGACTTCAGCTGAAGCACATTATGATTTATATTCATATTTAATTTTTAAAAACACTCAGATCATACTGATCTCTCATCTAAAGCAGCATCATTTACCCTACTCAGTCCAGAGTCTTGGGCGAGTCTCGGTCCTGACTGTCCCTAAGAATTACGCATGGAGTGGAGTTTTTTTTTCTAATATGCATGCTGAGGCCTCAAACCTACCCCAGAGATTCTGACTTAGGACAGGCTGGCATCTGCATGTGTGATGTGTGTGCAGAAATGCACTACCTCCCTTACACATCCCTGTCCTCAGAGACCAAATGGAAAGAGCTATTTGCTTGTAGGTTCTCTAGCTCAAGAAAATGTTCAGAGGTCTTGGCAGCTAAGCTGACAAGAGGCTCTAATTTAGTAGCCCTCCCTGACCCTCTCATCATTCTTTTTCTGCACACTGCTATCACCATCACTTCCTCCAGGTGGAGGTATTCCAAACTATAGGTAGGAAAGCAGGTCTCTTCCTCTCTGCATCTCAATTTCTTCATCTGCAAAAAGAGAAGTATAATACTGCAAGAAGTAGTACACGTTACTAAAAATGACTATAAAACAGGTTTCAAACTGCATCAAAGGACTAGACTAAAATATTAATACAGATATGCCATCTTCTCAGAAGAAATTTCAGCTACTTGTATCCCTCAAGGAATACATGTTAATTAAAATGAGTCACACACACACAAATGCACCAATTCTTAAAGTATAGCCACCCTACTCCAGGTGACTCACAAAAAGACGGGTACAAGGCTTAAAGAAAACACAGGAGGGGATGAATCACATATCTCATGTTTTATTCTCGGTTGTTTACGAACCAGTGACCATAAGTTATTTCTTCTTCCTCTATTTCCTTTGAACATTAAAATGGAAACTTTTACAAAGCATGCTGCTATCTTCAGGTTAAAACCCTGTGGATGCTGAAGCCTGATGTGGTCAGCCCTACCAGGAACCACAATTACCAGGCAGTCCTCTCAGAGACTGGAACTTACATAATCTTCACTTGTTTTTTCAGATTTAACACCCCAAATGCTGTAACTCAGAAAATACACCA